ATAGCCAGAACGCACTTCTCAGCCTACTATGCAAGGCCCGATTTGCCTAATACGCCAAGTTTTCCTGAATTAATATATTTTCTCTAATTTTTTTCTTATGAAATGATAAAGCTACCCATTTCATTATGTATGAGGTCAATTTTTTTTTATTAGAGTTAAAATTAACGTAGATATATGACCGAACCTAACCATCCCTACCTAACCTAACCTAACCTATCTTTATAGGTTAGGTTAGGTTAAGTAGCAGAAAAAGTTAGGTTAGGTCAGGTTAGGTAGGTTAGGTAGTCGAAAAACAAATAATTCATGAAAACTTGGCTTATTAGGCAAATTGGGCCTTGCATAGTAGGCTGAGAAGTGCGTTCTGGCTACTAGGTACGACATATATATATATATATATATATATATATATATATATATATATATATATTATATATATATATATATATATATATATATATATATATATAGCAGTCTTTCTTGTACACAATATATGTTGTTGAATATGACGAAAGGGTAAGATTAATGATTCTAACACGAATCTTCTCAATATTTCTTACGTTTTTCTTCTCTGTCGAGGGCAATTGAAATATTAACTCTCCAAAGTTCATTTTCCCATTTTTTATTTTTGGTCTGACTCCTAAATGCGTTTCGCAAGGCCTTCTTACATTTCCAAAGACAGGTTTACACATATCATATATCATGCTTATATTCGATTTGGGTGAGGTGACATGACACAAATGTTTTTGGGTGAGGTGACAGAACACGAATCAATGGGTATAAAGTGGATATGAAAACATAAGAGCGAAAGTAATTACAGAAGGCCTATTGGCCCATATTTTCTCTTACTGTTTCTATGTTGGTTCGAGGTCTTGAAGTGGGTAGAATATAGTTATGTGTTAATTGGCTGTTTATTGCTGGTGTTGACTTTTTGATGTGTAGGGCCTCGCTGATGTCGAGTCTCCTGCTATCGCTGTATCTGTCAATGATTTCTGTGTTGTTTGTTAAGATTTCTCTGGTGATGGACTGGTTGTGGGAAGAGATTATATGCTCCTTTGTGGGAAAATCCTAGCAGGATTTAATTCTTTTTCTTTTTATGAAATATTAAATATTTACTTTATTTATTTTTCAGTTGAATTTAATATTATATTATTTTTCTTCTGAGTTAGTTCTTAGTGGACTGTATATTCTAATTCAGCTGCTAGAACTTATCACACACAGAGTTGGTGGGACAATTTGTAGCTTAAACCAGTTTGAGGGAGCTCCTTCATAAACCACATATTATTTACCTAGTCTTTAATATATAAATTATAAATCATACCACATACGGTGATCTAATCTACTGTTATACTTATAGATAATTTAATTATGTATACTACTCTATCTACAGTATTAAACACAAAAGGGCCTTATCTGATACTGTAGTTGTGGCCTGCTAAGGCTGTGTAATGGTAGCATCAGGTTGGGGTGTGGCCCTGTGCCTCAGAGTGCCACGTGATGGCGGCTATCTGGAGGCCTGCAAGGCCTGATGCACAGCAGGATAACAAATGTCTATAATTATGTTGGGAGCCAGCTGTAATCCAAGGGAACTTATAATTATGTTGGGAGCCAGCTGTAATCCAAGGGAACTTATAATTATGTTGGGAGCCAGCTGTAATCCAAGGGAACTTATAATTATGTTGGGAGCCAGCTGTAATCCAAGGGAACTTATAATTATGTTGGGAGCCAGCTGTAATCCAAGGGAACTTATAATTATGTTGGGAGCCAGCTGTAATCCAAGGGAACTTCACATCACTCATTCCTACCGAATGTTTAGAATTAATAATGGTTCCCTAAACATATAAGTATAGGTATGACATGGAATATGTGTGTGTGTGTGTGGTAGAGCTGAGTAAGTACTTGTACTTACTTACTTACTTACTTGTACTTACTTACTTACCCCAAACAAGTACTAAGTACTTGTTTGGGATTTTCTCATGCTAATAACCGGCTACTTAATCTATATTATACGGTGCACCTATAATACCAGAGTCTAAAGCAGTCGGATACTTAGCTCTTCTCTTTGTTAATGAGATCTTCGGTTAGACGGATGGTAGAGGATCCTGTGTCGAAGCTCAGAGAAAGAACTTTTTGTGTTGTAAAATTTGTCAGGGAGTGTTTCCTGGCTGTGTTTACAAGTTGCTGTCTTGTGATGCTCGGCCTCCCTCCTTGTTAAGTTTAAACACTAGACTGTTGTTTAAAAGAAATAGAGTTAATATAAATATTCGTCTTGTTGTTGACGTCACGGAATACCCGTTCTCTGATTTCTTTAATGGGTCACATATGTTATTTTGTGTGTCGGATTTCCGTCATCCTTGATGGTGCCCTGTTGTTTGTGCATTGTTAATCGCCTGGAAAGATAAGTTGTTGTCTTGCCTATATACTAAGATCTTTGGGGCTTACAGTTCCCAAATGGGAATGTGAAGGCATAGACGACGTTGGTTTCCTTCAAGGCGTTCTGTTTGGTGTCTGGGGAGTTTTTCATGAGTAGGTTGGCCGTTTTCTTGTTTTTGTAGTAAATTATCAATTGTATTTTCCGATTTTTTGTCTAGGGATAACGTTCCTATTAATAATATCTTTCAGGACATTTTCCTCCATTTTATAAGCCGTCGAAAAGAAGTTCCTGTAAAACAGTCTAATAGTGGGTTACAAGTGTTGTGTTAGTTGTCTCTTCAGAGGTTGCATGGCGTTGCAACTTTTTTTATGACGTCTTCAACAAAACCATTGGAGAAGCCATTGTTGACTAGGACCTGCCTTACCCTACATAGTTCTTCATCGACTTGCATCCATCCTGAGCTGTGGCTGAGAGCACGGTCGACGTAAGCGTTGACAACACTCATGTACCTGTCTGGGCAGTCGCTGTTGGCATTGAGGCACATTCCTATGTTGGTTTCCTTAGTGTAGACTACAGTGTGGAAGCCTCCGCTCCTTTCCATGACTGTTACATCTAGAAAGGACATCTTCACATCAGTCTCCATCTCGTAAGTGAAACTTAACACCGAATTCTGCTCAAATGCCTCCTTCAGCTCCTGCAGACGTCTGACATCAGGTACCTGCATAAAAATATGTTGTCAACATACCTGCAGTATATGGCCGGTTTCAAGCCCATGTCAACTAAGACCCTCTGCTCGATAGTCCCCATGTAGAAGTTCGCAAACAGGACACCTAGGGGAGAACCCATGGCGACCCCATCTATTTGCTTATACATGTGTCCATCCGGGCTCAAGAAGGGCGCCTCTTTAGTACAGGCTTGAAGTAGCTTTCTTAGTATGTTTTCTGGTATGTCAAGACGAGTACAAGCCGGATCACGATACACTCTGTCCATTATCATCCCGAGTGTTTCATCCATAGGCACGTTCTTAAACAGGGACTCCACATCCAAAGAGGCTCTTATCCCCGTGGCCCGTGCTCCCCGCAGTAAGTCAACGAAGTCTCCTTTGGAGACTTCAGACTGAAAGAACAAGGCACATAAGGAGTCAGCAAGCTGTTGAGTCGCTTAGCCAGTCTGTACGTGGGTGTGGGTATCTGGCTGATGATTGGCCGAAGTGGGTTTCCAGGCTTGTGGGTCTTGACATTCCCGTATGCATAACCAGGTTTGATTTCCCCGATAACCTTTGGCAGGTGGAGTCCACAGCTACACACCTACCACAACTACACCCCTTCTACCACAACTGCAACTCTTTTACCAGAATTGTAACACTCCTACCACAACTACAACCCTCCAACCGCAACTGTAGGAGGGTTCGATTCCAGGCGGAGGTGGAAACAAATGGGCAGAGTTTCGTTCACCCTGATGGTCTGTTCACCTAGCAGTAAATAGGTACCTGGGAGTTAGACAGCTGCTACGAGCTGCTTCCTGGGGATGTGTGTGTGTGTGTGTGTGTGTGTGTGTGTGTGTGTGTGTGTGTGTGTGTATTAGATATATATGTAGTAGACATAATAGAGGGAAAAATAAATTGGCTAGAGAGGCGGGGTCCAAGCGCTAAAAGCTCGATTTTGGAGACAAATAGTTAACAAGCAAATAGTAAACATTCACAAACACCTTTCTCCGTTTCCGAAACCGGCCAAAGAAACCAACAGAACACAAAACTGAGAGGCATGAACTAAAAGGAAAAATTGGACCTCAGCACACTGGAGGAAAGGAGGAATTTGGAAGACATGACAGCGACATTTAAGATTTTAACGAGATGATATCAATGTGAAGAGTCATGTAGGATATGTTGTGAATAAAGAAAGGTAGAACATGAGTATATGCTCAGTATAAAGCGAAGGAGAACAAGGCAATATGTTCTATATAAAGCTGAGTAGAACACAGGAACATGTTCAGTATAAGACAGAGTAGAACAAAGGAACATCAGTATAAGGCAGAATAGAACAAAGGAACATCAGTATAAGGCAGAATAGAACAAAGGAACATCAGTATAAGGCAGAATAGAACAAAGGAACATCAGTATAAGGCAGAATAGAACAAAGGAACATCAGTATAAGGCAGAATAGAACAAGGAACATTAGTGAAAGACAGAATAGAACAAAGGAACATCAGTATAAGGCAGAATAGAACAAAGGAACATTAGTATAAGGCAGAATAGAACAAAGGAATATCAGTATTAGGCAGAATAGAACAAAGGAATATCAGTATAAGGCAGAATAGAACAAAGGAACATTAGTGAAAGACAGAATAGAACAAAGGAACATCAGTAAAAGACAGAATAGAACAAAGGAACATCAGTAAAAGACAGAATAGAACAAAGGAACATTAGTGAAAGACAGAATAGAACAAAGGAACATCAGTATAAGGCAGAATAGAACAAAGGAACATCAGTATAAGGCAGAATAGAACAAAGGAATATCAGTATAAGGCAGAATAGAACAAAGGAACATGTTCAATATAAGGCAGAGAAGAACAAACGAACATAATATGAAACTTAAGCGACAGACAAGTCACAAGAAATCATTTTTTTAAGCGAATGGGGAAGATAGAAAATATAATAAACCAGAATCAAAAGCAATAGATCACAATAGATACAATAAGAAACAGGAGGTTCAGAACGTCCCTGATGAGCCAGAGCTCAAGAGCTGGCGCCCAACACCTGCAAGTAATAAGAAACAGGAGGTTCAGAACGTCCCTGATGAGCCAGAGCTCAAGAGCTGGCGCCCAACACCTGCAAGTAATAAGAAACAGGAGGTTCAGAACGTCCCTGATGAGCCAGAGCTCAAGAGCTGGCGCCCAACACCTGCAAGTAATAAGAAACAGGAGGTTCAGAACGTCCCTGATGAGCCAGAGCTCAAGAGCTGGCGCCCAACACCTGCAAGTAATAAGAAACAGGAGGTTCAGAACGTCCCTGATGAGCCAGAGCTCAAGAGCTGGCGCCCAACACCTGCAAGTAATAAGAAACAGGAGGTTCAGAACGTCCCTGATGAGCCAGAGCTCAAGAGCTGGCGCCCAACACCTGCAAGTAATAAGAAACAGGAGGTTCAGAACGTCCCTGATGAGCCAGAGCTCAAGAGCTGGCGCCCAACACCTGCAAGTAATAAGAAACAGGAGGTTCAGAACGTCCCTGATGAGCCAGAGCTCAAGAGCTGGCGCCCAACACCTGCAAGTAATAAGAAACAGGAGGTTCAGAACGTCCCTGATGAGCCAGAGCACAAGAGCTGGCGCCCAACACCTGCAAGTAATAAGAAACAGGAGGTTCAGAACGTCCCTGATGAGCCAGAGCTCAAGAGCTGGCGCCCAACACCTGCAAGCAATAAGAAACAGGAGGTTCAGAACGTCCCTGATGAGCCAGAGCACAAGAGCTGGCGCCCAACACCTGCAAGTATACGGGCACACACACACACACAGGCAAGAAAGAGAAGGGTGGGCAGACTGCATATTTTTGGATTGCCAGAAAGCCTTTGATACAGTACCACACAAGAGGTTAGTGAAAAAGCTGGAGATGCAGGCTGGAGTGAAAGGGAAGGTACTCCGTTAGATAAGGGAGTACCTAAGCAACAGGAGACAACGAGTCAGTGTGAGGGGTGAGGTCTCAGATTGGCGAGACGTTACGAGTGGAGTCCCGCAGGGGTCAGTCCTTGGACCTATACTGTTTCTGGTATATGTAAGTGATCTCCCAGAGGGTATAGAATCGTTTCTCTCAATGTTTGCTGATGATGCAAAATTATGATGAGGATTGAAACAGAGGATGATAGTAAGAGGTTTCAAGATGACCTAGACAGACTGAGTGAATAGTCTAACAAATGGCTGCTAATGTTTAACCCGAGTAAATGCAAAGTAATGAAACTAGGCGGTGGAAACAGGAGGCCAGACACAGGATACAGAATAGGAGATGAAGTACTTAATGAAACGAACAGAGAGAAAGATCTAGGAGTTGATATCACAACAAACCTGTCTCCTGAAGCCCACATAAAAAGAATTACGTCTGCGGCATATGCGAGGCTGGCTAACATCAGAACAGCGTTCAGGAACCTGTGTAAGGAATCGTTCAGAACCTTGTATACCACATACGTTAGACCATTCCTGGAGTATGCGGTCCCAGCATGGAGCCCGTACCTTGTCAAGCACAAGGCGAAGCTGGAAAAAGTTCAGAGGTATACCACTAGACTGGTCCCTGAACTAAGAGGCATGAATTACGAGGAAAGGCTGCGGGAAATGCACCTTACGACACTGGAAGACAGAAGAGTGAGGGGAGACATGATCAATACCTACAAAATCCTCAGGGGGGAATTGACAGGGTAGACAAGGATAATCTATTCAACACTGGCGGTACGCGAACAAGGGGACACAGGTGGAGACTGAGTACCCACATGAGCCACAGAGATATTAGAAAGAACTTTTTTAGTGTCAGAGTGGTTGACAAATGGAATGCATTAGGCAGTGATGTGGTGGAGGCTGACTCCATACACAGTTTCAAGTGTAGATATGATAGAGCCCAATAGGCTCAGGAATCTGTATACCAGTTGATTGACGGTTGAGAGGCGGGACCAAAGAGCCAGAGCTTCATCCCCACAAACACAACTAGATGAGTACAACACACACACACACACACACACACACACACACACACACACACACACACACACACACACACACACACTCACACTCACACACACACACACACACACACACACACACACACACACACACACACACACACACACACACGCACGCAAGCCCCATGCATCCGTCCCCTCCTGGGTTTCTCATACATAATGTGTGTGCCGCAAGAGCCACCACGGCATCTGTTGGAACAGTGATTGATGTGGTGGAGGTTTTTTTTCCATATTGATTTTGGGCTGTTTTACCAAGCTGGAAATGTCTGGAAGTGGTGTTTTTATATTATTGATGTTATCATTGGTTAATAATGGTATTATGGTTGGCTTCACTCTCTGATATCGGTTGATATCGGTTCCAGAAGTTGATACCGGTTCTTAGGTTCCAGTAAATGATACTGGTTCATCGGTTCCAAACGTTGATAGCTGTTCATTTTCTCCAGAATGATAACCTGATATCGCTTCAACGTTTCCAGAACGATAGCTTGAAAACACATTGACTTCTACACTGTAATAACTAAAAATAAATTGGTTATTAAATTGCCTTTCATTATAAAATTACATTGTTATCCGCCTATATATTCCATAGCATCGCCAATTACAGTTAAATTGGTTAGTGTATCCTCCTTGCACTTCTCCTGGACCGATGTTGCGTCTTATATTGCACGACGTTGCGGATAATCTATAAATTGATCCAATTATTGGCATTCTACTGCAGGATTTTGCAAAGAACCAACTGGAACCCATTTTTGGTCTTGCATTGCGTGATCTTGCAAAGAATGAGTAACCAGAAGCGAAGGATTAAGATACGAGTGAGGAGAGTAGAGGGAGTAGTGAAAGAGCAGAGTAGAGAGTAGGGTAATAAGCAGGAGAAAAGTAAATATATATAAGGATGTGTGAGAAATGAGTGAACAGAAGTGAAGGCAATAGGGAATGGATGAATGAGAAAGGAGAGAAGAAGAGAACGAGTAAGAGTTTGAGGGAGAAAGACAGAGAGAAATAGAGAGCGTGACAGAGAAAGACAAAGAGAAAATCGCGGGTTTCACAGAGAAAGAGAAATTGACCAAGAGCCCCTGAGGGCCGCCCTCGGGGGCAACAGGGAAATATACCTGACTGTAGCCTTTCCAGTTTTCTATTAAGTTTGTTTGGTCCGCCAAAGCCTCTTGAGCCCCTCGGTCTTCCCCTCTGGACACTGTGGGGTGGCTCCTGTGGGTAGGTGGGGGGGGGGAGGCTTTCCCCTTCTTTTCCTTGGCTTCCCTTCTCCCCCCTCTCATCCTCCCCATCTATTCTCCTTACTCCGGACATACTGGGTGGGTGTGGGCGTCTTTTCCCCCTCCTTTCCTTAGCCCCCCTCTTCTACCCCTCACACCAGTCCCCTCTAGCCTCCCATCCCCCAACACACTGGTGCGGTTGTGTTGTGGGGCGGTTAAAAAATTCCCCCTATTTCCCTCCTACTCCCATCCCCCCCTTCTCTCCCCTTCCCCTTTGGTCTCCCACGCTAAGCAGACAGCGGCGCAAGTCTCCACCGTAAAAGTCAAAGACATTACTGACCAACAAACCTCAGGCGGCAGTAGAAGTCATAAACGACTTTGACAACCAGCGGAGAATAAGGAGCAACAAACAAAAGTTCAAAATAATACATTTTAGGAAAGGAAACCCTGAGACCATTATCCTTGACAACCACCCAGCCCAACCTCCCAATGTTGGCAGACTACTGCGACTCAAGATCAATACAACAGGAATCAAAACCTACTTAAATTACAGAATAATAAGAGTAAAAACAGAATTAGGAAAACTAAGGAGATTCCGAAGCCTCAGTACAAACATACACCTATATAAGCTCCACCTATATAAGGCTCTATATCCACCTATATAAGGCTCTAGTTCGGCCGCATATAGAGTATCCTCCAGTACCACTACACACCATAAAGATAACTAACATGCAGAAGCTACAAGCAGTGCAGAATAAGGCGTTAAGAAGAGCAGCAAAACACCGTCCACCATATGACAAACAGTTCAGGAGCTCCATGAACTCCTGAACATACAGCCACTAAACACAAGACGCTCGAAATGTTAGAAGACCCAATACTAGAAAGATTATATTAGGATGAGACGCCCCACCCGTAGAGCAGGTGGCCCAAGAGCTTGGATCTACTCGGCGAAACACAAGCCCCAAAATGTACAATTCCAAGACTAAACACAGACCAGAATCCCCCACTAAAAAAACACCCTTGAACAGAACATTAAAACAAATGCATATGAGTGTGTATCTGTGAATGCTACACTGTGTTCATCTATATAGACATCCATATATGGTGAAACACATGTGAAGAACCTCTCACACACTCACAGCTCCCTGACAAGAGAGAGCCAGCTTAGCTTAGCTGCCAACACCCGCACATCGTGTCAGCATGGCGGACAGCCTACTTGCTATCATAACATCGTGTCAGCAAGGCTGACAGCCCGCCTGCTATCATAACTAAGATTAGCAAGGCGGACAGCCCGCCTGTTATCATAACATCGCGTCAGCAAGGCGGACAGCCCGCCTGCTATCATAACATCGTGTCAGCAGGGCGGACAGCCCGCTTGCTATCATAACATCGTGTCAGCAAAGTATAACGTATAACATAGGGACGCAGAGAGGTACAAACCTGTATATAGTAGGGCCCGAGAGCTGGAGCTCGCCACCCTGCAGACACAACTAAGCATACACACATATATGATGCATATAATTGTATATAATTTAAATCCTTTCCTGGGTCTTTGGTTATATATAATTTAAGCCTATGTTCCTGTGTTGATAGTTATCTATATGTTCCTGTGTTGGTAGTTATCTGTATGTTCCTGTGTTGGTTGTTATCTGTATGTTCCTGTGTTGGTTGTTATCTATATGTTCCTGTGTTGGTAGTTATCTGTATGTTCCTGTGTTGGTTGTTATCTATATGTTCCTGTGTTGGTTGTTATCTATATGTTCCAGTGTTGATA